GCGAAAGTGTTCACCCCCCTTGGCATTTTTCCTATTTTGTTGCTTTACAACCTGGAATTATAATGGATTTTTTAGGGGGTTTTATCATTTGATTTACACAACATGCCTATCAGTTTGAAGATGCAAAATATGTTTTGTTGTGAAACAAACAAGAAATAAGACAAGAAAAACAGAAAACTTGAGCATGCATAACTATTCACCCCCCCTCAAAGTCTATACTTTGTAGAGCCACCTTTTGCAGCAATTACAGCTGCAAGTCTCTTGGGGTATGTCTCTATAAGCTTGGCACATCTAGCCACTGGGATTTCTGCCCATTCTTCAAGGCAAAACTGCTCCAGCTCCTTCAAGTTGGATGGGTTCCGCTGGTGTACAGCAATCGTTAAGTCATACAGTGAGGGGAAAAAAGTATTTGATCCCCTGCTGATTTTGTATGTTTGCCCACTGACAAAGAAATGATCAGTCTATAATTTTAATGGTAGGTTTATTTGAACAGTGAGAGACAGAATAACAACAAAAAAATCCAGAAAAGCGCATGTCAAAAATGTTATAAATTGATTTGCATTTTAATGAGGGAAATAAGTATTTGACCCCTCTGCAAAACATGATTTAGTACTTGATGGCAAAACCCTTGTTGGCAATCAAAGAGGTCAGACGTTTCTTGTAGTTGGCCACCAGGTTTGCATACATCTCAGGAAGGATTTTGTCCCACTCCTCTTTGCAGATCTTCTCCAAGTCATTAAGGTTTCGAGGCTGACGTTCGGCAACTCGAACCTTCAGCTCCCTCCACAGATTTTCTATGGGATTAAGGTCTGGAGACTGGCTAGACCACTCCAGGACCTTAATGTTCTTCTTCTTGAGCCACTCCTTTGTTGCCTTGGCCGTGTGTTTTGGGTCATTGTCATGCTGGAATACCAATCCACAACCCATTTTCAATGCCCTGGCTGAGGGAAGGAGGTTCTCACCCAAGATTTGATGGTACATGGCCCCGTCCATCGTCCCTTTGATGCAGTGAAGTTTTCCTGTCCCCTTAGCAGAAAAACACCCCCAAAGCATAATGTGTCCACCTCCATGTTTGACTGTGGGGATGGTGTTCTTGGAGTCATAGGCAGCATTCCTCCTCCTCCAAACACGGCGTGTTGAGTTGATGCCAAAGAGCTCCATTTTGGTCTCATCTGACCACAACACTTTCACCCAGTTCTCCTCTCAATCATTCAGATGTTCATTGGCAAACTTCAGACGGGCATGTATATGTACTTTCTTGAGCAGGGGGGCCTTGCGGGCGCTGCAGGATTTCAGTCCTTCACGGCGTAGTGTGTTACCAATTGTTTTCTTGGTGACTATGGTCCCAGCTGCCTTGAGATCATTGACAAGATCCTCCCGTGTAGTTCTGGGCTGATTCCTCACCGTTCACATGATCATTGCAACTCCACGAGGTGAGATCTTGCATGGAGCCCCAGGCCGAGGGAGATTGACAGTTATTTTGTGTTTCTTCCATTTGCGAATAATCACACCAACTGTTGTCACCTTCTCACCAAGCTGCTTGGCGATGGTCTTGTAGCCCATTCCAGCCTTGTGTAGGTCTACAATCTTGTCCCTGACATCCTTGGAGAGCTCTTTGGTCTTGGCCATGGTGGAGAGTTTGGAATCTGATTGATTGATTGCTTCTGTGGACAGGTGTCTTTTATACAGGTAACAAACTGAGATTAGGAGCACTCCCTTTAAGAGTGTGCTCCTAATCTCAGCTCGTTACCTGTATAAAAGACACCTGGGAGCCAGAAATCTTTCTGATTGAGAGGGGGTCAAATACTTATTTCCCTCATTAAAATGCAAATCAATGTATAACATTTTTTACATGCGTTTTTCAGGATTTCTTTGTTGTTATTCTGTCTCACTGTTCAAATAAACCTACCATTAAAATTATAGACTGATCATTTCTTTGTCAGTGGGCAAACGTACAAAATCAGCAGGGGATCAAATACTTTTTTCCTTCACTGTACCACAGATTCTCAATTGGATTGAGGTCTGGGCTTTGACTAGGCCATTCCAAGACATTTAAATGTTTCCCCTTAAACCACTCGAATATTGCTTTAGCAGTATGCTTAGGGTCATTGTCCTGCTGGAAGGTGAACCTCCGTCCCAATCTCAAATCTCTGGAAGATTGAAACAGGTTTCCCTCAAGAATTTCCCTGTATTTAGCGCCATCCATCATTCCTTCAATTTTGTCCAGTTTCCCAGTCCCTGCCGATGAAAAACATCCCCACAGCATGATGCTGCCACCACCATGCTTCACTGTGGGGATAGTGTTCTCGGGGTGATGAGAGGTGTTGGGTTTGCGACCAGACATAGTGTTTTCCTTGATGACCAAAAAGCTCAATTTTAGTCCCATCTGACCAGAGTACCTTCTTCCATATGTTTGGGGATTCTCCCACATTGCTTATTTTCTTCTTTAAGCAGTGGCTTTTTTCTGGCCACCCTTCCGTAAAGCCCAGCTCTGTGGAGTGTACGGCTTAAAGTGATCATATGGACAGATACTCCAATTTCTGCTGTGGAGCTTTGCAGCACCTTCAGGGTTATCTTTGGTCTCTTTGTTGCCTCTCTGACTAATGCCCTCCTTGCCTGGTCCGTGAGTTTTGGTGGGCGGCCATCTCTTGGCAGGTTTGATGTGGTGCCATATTCTTTCCATTTTTTAATAATAGATTTAATGGTGCTCCGTGGGATGTTCAAAGTTTCTGATATTTTTTTTATAACCCAACCCTGATCTGTACTTCTCCACAACTTTGTCCCTGACCTGTTTGGAGAGCTCCTTGGTCTTCATGGTGCCGCTTGCCTGGTCGTGCCCATTGCTTAGTGGTGTTGCAGACTCTGGGGCCTTTCAGAACAGGTGTATATATACTGAGATCATGTGACAGATCATGTGACACACAGGTGGACTTTATTTAACTAATTATGTGACTTCTGAAGGTAAGTGGTTGCACCAGATCTTATTTAGGGGCTACATAGCAAAAGGGGTGAATACATATGCACGCACCACTTTTCCGTTATTTATTTTTTAGAATCTTTTGAAAAAAGTTATTTTTTTCATTTCACTTCACCAATTTGGACTATTTTGTGTATGTCCATTGCATGAAATCCAAATAAAAATCCATTTAAATTACAGGTTGTAATGCAACAAAATAGGAAGAACGGCAAGGGGGATGAATACTTTTGCAAGGCACTGTATCCAAGTTGGGTTGGCTGTGGTTGGATAGGTGTGTAGAAGCCTTTAAGCTATTATAAAATCACAACATGTTGTGGTCCTATGCAAAATAATTAGGCAGGGTTCATTCCAAGGTGTGTTGTAGAGCGTTGTCAACAAGGCACAGTTTAAAATAAATGTTCCTGTGTTTGTTGAGATCACATTCAGGGTAAGTGCTGCAGATTTCGGCCTATTCGGAAATTACCTTAAGATGTCAAGTGCTCTATAACGTACCTCGGATTGAATCCCGGCATTACTATAGTAATAAAAACAAGGCTTAGGTGATTTAGTATATTCTGTATATTGTGAGAATCCATATGTCAAAAACAGCAAGATTCACAAACCTTTAAATATATTTTTGTTTTATTAAATGTATTACATAAACACTGCAATTATTAATTGACTGTATCCATACCACAATTCCATGTACACTGAAGAAAATAAAAACCAACAGCTCATAGCAGGGAACTAAACCTATCACAAATCAATGATCTGGAATTATACACACTGGTCTGTTCTCACATTGCTGCACACAGTTTAAAACAAGTACATAGTGCCAAATAGTGTCAAATATCAGACGTTTTTCTACTGTTCTACTTCTGACTGTAAATATTTTTATTGTATTTTTATTTTTAGACTTTTAGATATATTTGTGTATGTTTTTGTACTATAAAAATATATTTTTTATCATAAATGTATACGTTATACTGCTCTGAACATTAATGCTGGAATCCGCATAAGGTGAAACAGCACCACTGTTACTGTTGTTGTTTTGTTGATGAAAGAGGAGAGGAACGTCTGGCAAACACAATACATATTCTGCTGTTCTATCGCGTGTGCAATGATGTCTGAGGGGGAAAAAAACAGTGTTTGTTGTTTTAAGTTACTTCTTTGTTGTTGTCAACCGGACGTGGCAGTAGCACCAAGTACGTATTCCAGCTTGAATGTTCTTCAAAGAAACAAGACCCATAGGGCATCTACTTCACTAGCATACTAGCTAGATAGTGAGCTGTGACCCACCATTATGGCACACAGTGCCAATAAAATACCCCTTATGGAACAGCGGGGACTGTGAAGCAACACAAACACAGGCACATGCATACACACACACGACAGCATACGCACTATACACACACGTACACATGGATTTTTGTACTGTAGATATGTGGTAGTGGTGGAGTAGGGGCCTGAGGGCGCACAGTGTGTTGTGAAATCTGTGAATGTTTTGTAATGTTTTTAAAATTGTATGAACTGCCATAATTTTGCTGGACCCCGGGAAGAGTAGCTGTTGCCAAGGCAGCAGCTAATGGGGATCCATAATAAATACAAAATACAAATAAAACTCTTTATGCCATAACTCATCTTGATACATAGACCTTAGAACACTACATCATACATATGTACATGCATACTGTAAGAATATTGCTCCTCAAATACATTACATTTACCCATCGAATACATTCGTGGTCTAGAAATAATTATTTCCCCCCCAAAAGATGCAATTTGCATCAACAATCCATTGCCTCAGGTTTCACGCTATCGGAAGCAATACAAGCAACCCAGGTCCTGAAACACGTGGCAAGAACACCTTTGGCACAGCACATACAGTAGGAAGATCAATGTTTCCCCAAAGTGGAAAACACTACTTAACCTTGGACACAACACAGATCTTTACAGTAGCTTGCAGTTTTTCACAAGAGATTCTTTCAATTGAAAGAAACTACAATTCCCAGTCCCCCACCAGACCAGAGCAACGAGCCAATCACAGGCCCTGAGACTGCAGGGTGAGGATCTCAGCAGCCAATCTCTGTGGGTCCATGAGCTGGGGGAACATGTCCATGGCCTTGTCCACCAGACGGCGGTGAAAGATGGCCAGCAGCTTCTTCCTGACCTCCTCCCTCTCCCTGCCCTCCCCGTGGGGGTGGGGCTGTGTCTGGGGGAAGGGCCAGTGTCTCTGCTTCGCCTCCTGAGCAGCGCTAAGGAGAGTCTGAGGATAAGTCCCGAATGGATCGGACCAGTAGGTCTGCTGTGGAGGATGTGCACTGCCCTGCTGTTGGAAGTCATTGGGGTGGCTGTAGTGATGCTTATCAACTGGATACATTGGTGCCCCATAGTTGAGGTAATAGGGTGGGTAGTAGGTTATCATGCCTGGGTTGTGGGTGCTGGCTGGGCCCCTGCTGTGATGTTGTTGGTATCCTGCGCTGGGGCCCAGTAAAGGCTGAGGAGGATGAGAGACGCAGCTACAAGGCGGGTTGCTAGGCAGGGAATAGAGTTGTTGTCTCATACTGGGGGTGGACTGGCAGTTCCTGTACCCAGCCGTCCCATAGCGGTCACAGTGGTCCCTGGAGGGGTCAGACGCTTGGCTCTCGAAGGAGCCAAGACCAGAATCTAGTCGCTCCTGAGAGCCACTGGGCAGGGCCGAGTCCAGGTCGGTCGGGGAGTGAGAGCCACTGGGCATTGCCGAGTCCAGGTCGGTCATGAAGTGTCGGTTGGACTTGTCCTTCTTGGCTGGGGACCTCCGGCTGGAACGATGGCTTCCCTTGAGCAGAAGCACATTCTCACTGATGTGGCCTTTCTTCAGGGAGCCATTCCACTGTTCTAGGGTCAGTTTCTGAGCCGTATTCTCGTCCAGGGAAAGGCCATTGACAGGTCCAGCACCTGTGTTGGGGTGTTTATGTTGTGATAAAGACAGCTTGGCCTTCTCCCGCAGCTCGTCAGCCAGAGAGCGATTAGATTGGTTGGCTCGTTCCGGGTGGTAGAATTTACACTTCATCCCGTAAGTGCATTTCCTTCCTGGATTCATGAAATGTAAACAAGAGTTCATTAGTACCGTTGAGTTTCAGCACATCCAGTACAGTCCATTTATTACATCCATTACGGTTTTGGTGTCCGTTTGTCAATAATTATTTTCAAATGTTCCCCCCACCCATATGTAAGGTCAACCACAGGATGACCCTAGTAGAGATATGACCTCACCATAAGGACATGGCTGTTTCCGTGGTAACCGAGGAACCTTCCGTAGAAAGTTCTCCAGGGTGGGACCATGGCGACCCAGAGGGTCATCAGGGGGCATGAACCTGAGAGAGGGGGGTGTAGAGTTTAGATTCATACTACACTGTGGCTAATGTACACTGAACAATAATGCATCATCTTTTTCATACCTCAGTAGTACAGTTATACAGATTTATAAGTATAAAATATTTACAAGTTATACGATCAAGCAATGGCTTATTCATGACAGTTGTGGACTACAGGAGAAAAAAAAGAGGACTGAGCACGCCCCCATTCTCATCGACGGGGCTGTACTAGAACAGGTTGAGAGCTTCAAGTTCCTTGGTGTCCACATCACCAACAAACTATCATGGTCCAAACACACCAAGACAGTCGTGAAGAGGGCACGACAAAGCCTATTCCCCCTCAGGAGACTGAAAAGATTTGGCATGGGTCCCCAGATCCTCAAAATGTTTGACAGCTGCACCATCGAGATCATCCTGACTGGTTGCATCACCGCCTGGTATGGCAACTGCTCGGCCTCCGACCACAAGGCACTACAGAGGGTAGTGCGTACGGCCCAGTACATCACTGGGGCCAAGCTTCAGTGATGAGGCGGTGTCAGAGGAAGGCCCTAAAAATGGTCAAAGACTCCAGCCACCCTAGTCATAGACTGTTCTCTCTGCTACCGCACGGCAAGCGATACCGGAGCGCCAAGTCTAGGTCCAAAAGGCTTCTTAACAGCTTCTACCCACAAGCCATAAGACTCCTGAACAGCTAATCATGGCTACCCAGACTATTTGCATTGTCCACTGTGTGTATTTCAGTGTTAATAGTAAGCTACAACAAGACTTACTTGTCATTGACGAAGGAGTACATGAGTAGCCTCTCCTCAATGAAGCGCTTCCACTCCTGCCTCTCGCCCTGAAGGTCACGGTAGGTGTCGTTGGACACGATGATGCCGTCGGACTCATGCGCCAGCTTGACGATGAAGCGATCATCATAGCAGACCACCCGTTTGCCCGCTACCCGCCGCGAAGGGGTGAACACCACGATCTTCTTCCTCTCCAGCTCACGCAAAATGTGTTGTTCTTTAGAAACAGAGAAAAATACTAACATTAGATAACTATTGAATTAGTTAATCATCAATTAAGTATTACTTAAGAGAGAGAAATTGTATAATTTATGCTGCTGCTCTTTGCTTTTCACAGGAGTGGAGCGTGTAGCTTGTTGTTGTTGTTGGCCAATCATGTCATCAAAGCGCCAAAAAGCTACAGTCATAGAGCCTCCATGTGGGGCAAAAGTTAGGAGATATCAGATCAATGGAAGATGGAATTAAAATGACAGAATTAAAAGTTAAAGGAGAAGGACAGGCTACAACGACCAAGAGCCAACAGGTAGGCTGCTACTTAATATTCTGAATGGAGTTGTTGTTGTTGTTTGTACCTGTGTAGGATGAGAAAGTACATGCAGCCTCAATTAGCCTAGCTAGCTAGCTAACTAGCTTCTCCCAGTTTGATGCAGTCAAGACAGGTACTACTTAATCATATTGGATGATATATGATGAGAAAGTACATGCAGCCTCAATTAGCCTAGCTAGCTAGCTTAACTAGCTTCTCCCGGTTTTATGAAGTAAAGACATGTACTACTTAATCATATTGGATGATATATGATGAGAAAGTACATGCAGCCTCAATTAGCCTAGCTAGCTAGCTTAACTAGCTTCTCCCGGTTTTATGAAGTAAAGACAGGTACTACTTAATCATATTGGATGATATATGATGAGAAAGTACATGCAGCCTCAATTAGCCTAGCTAGCTAGCTTAACTAGCTTCTCCCGGTTTTATGAAGTAAAGACAGGTACTACTTAATCATATTGGATGATATATGATGAGAAAGTACATGCAGCCTCAATTAGCCTAGCTAGCTAGCTTAACTAGCTTCTCCCGGTTTGATGCAGTCAAGACAGGTACCAGTTAATCATATTGGATGATAAATAACCTAGCTATGGCAGCTATTAGTCTACTATAGCGCGAGTCGGCTTGGTTGGTTGCTGTTTCTCGTCTCTCCCACCCTCCTCCCTGTTCCCGTGTCACTCGCTCACACTCACAGTAGCCTACTCCTCTCCCTACACACACAACACTGCTACAGGGACTCTACCTCCTCTCCCTACACACACAACACTGCTACAGGGACTCTACCTCCTCTCCCTACACACACAACACTGCTACAGGGACTCTACCTCCTCTCCCTACACACACAACACCACTAGAGGCTCTCTCTTTCTCCTCTCCCTCGCGCTTTATCAGCTCCGGGTAATAAAGTAGCTTAAAAAATGACTTTTCTGCTGCTTCCATCACTCGAATCGGGTCTGGATCCGACCAGGTCTATACGGAACGGGTCTAGTTGTCGCCGGGCCCGTTCGGAACGGGTCTCTATATTTAAAAAGATTATTTGTGCATATCGGTTCCAGATAGGAAAGCCCCAGGCCCAACTTTTTGGACCAGTAAAGGCCTCTAATTCACAGTAACTAGGTCAGCCAAGCTCATCTTGAGAAGGTGGTTTTTACATGCTACTGAAGGAAGTGATAAAGCACCATGATAAAAGTCCCTAGTTTAATCAGCTGAACATGAGAGACGTAGTTAGGAGATAAAGATCAGCAATGGTTGCCATTTGGAAACAAAAAATATCAGTGTTGGGTTTTCCCCCATGCTCTCACTTCCCACAGTCACCTTTGACCCCTGATCTGATCTCAAGTTCAGCCACTGACAAAAGCCAAACAAGGCCAAACGCCAAACTGTTTTTTGCTCACACATGAAAAACAATTTGACCTTTGCTGATCAAAGACACACGCTCTCTACTCGAACATTGTGCTTGTATGCATATTTCCTGAAGTCAACATATCACATAGCGTATTACATATTAGAAACTAGGTGGTTCGAGCCCTGAATGCTGATTGGCTGAAAGCTATGGTATATCAGCCCATATACCACAGGTATGACAAAACATTTATTTTTACTGCTCTAATTACATTGGTAACCAGTTTATAATAGCAATAAGGCACCTCAGGGGTTTGTGGTATATGGCCAATATACAACTCTGTGTTGCGTTGTGCCTAGGACCAGCCCTTGGTCGTGGTATATTGGCCATATACCACACCCCCTCGGGCCTTATTGCTTAAATATACTCTATGTGCCATCTCTGATTAAAATAACATATGTTCTATTGAGTGTCTAAAACAAATGTCCGCCCAACTTTATCCCACTGGGCAAAAACAGGTTGAATCAACATTGTTTCCACGTCAATTCAACAAAAGAATTCATGTGATGATGTTGAATCAACATGGAAAAACTGATTGGATTTGCAAAAAGTCGTTGTGTTTTTTTTTTTACCCAACTTTTAACCAAATCCAATGACATGGTGAAATGTTTTGTTGATTTCACGATGAATTCACGTTAGTTGACAACTCAACCAAATCAAAACAAACGTTGAAATGACGTCTGTGCCCAGTGGGATGGCTTGAGGAAGAAACTGAATTCAATACAATGAGGGCTATTGTGTGATACAGAGAAGGAAGTAGACATCGGGCCCTGGGCCGGGCGGTGCATTCCCAACATCTTCACCTGTGATGGGGACATCTGGTCTAGGCTGCTCCTTCCTCCATGAGGGAACAAACACGGTGATATCAGTATGACCTCTGTCCAGGAAGAAGTTTACCGCCAGCTGGATTCCCAGGCAGGAAAACACTTCCTTGTTCCCGTGGCTACAACAGAAAGACAATAGAAATAAATACTGTTTAGCAAGCAAGCCAATCCCATTCACAATGACTTACCTGTGTGGTAAGGGTAAGGAAGTATTCCTCCTACACTGACTCTGTGCCTGCGTCCCAAGTAGCACCTTATGGACCCTGGTCAAAAGTAGTGCACTTTATAGGGTGCTATTTGGGACGCAAGCTGTACTACCTCAAGAGCTATATCAATAGACAGATTTGGAGAGGGAGGGCCCGCGATGACTTCAACAGTTATTTTTCAGGTGAAAACACTTAGCTACATGTATACACAATATCACAGCATTTGCAATGCAAATGTTTGAACTATTACTGGAATCTAGACCAGGGATCATCAACTAGATTCAGCTGCGGCCAAGTTTTTTCTTCCGAGTGGATGATCAGGGGGCCGGAACATAATTACAAATAATTTGTGGACTGCAAATTGACCGCAAGAAGCCCAAACAGATATAATATTTGACTAAAACATAATCATTTCAAACCTTGCTTACATTTGTATACGATCACAGATATCTCTCTATTATGCGTTGGAATACTTTGGAACAGATTTCCTAAATTAAAATCACTTCCAGCTGATTTACTGGTGTTTTTACAATCTTTTATGTCCAACAATACCATTTTTTTATATTTTTTATTTTTGCTCAGAAAACATGGAGGGCCAAATAAAATCACCAACCTGCAAGCCGCCAGTTGGGGAAGCCTGATCTAGATAGTATATCCTGAACCACGTCTAGGGGTCAAATGGATTTGACTGGTAATGTTGTGTCATTTATATGCTCTCTCATAACTGTATGTGCTAAAATGTATGTTAAAGATTGACCGTTGCACTGGTAAATGTATACATTCATTATCCACATTAATATTCCCATATATGCTTATGTCCTTTGATCTGATTGCATTTAACTTATGTATCTTTTGATCGAACTTTTTAGATGCCATCTTATTCACCATGACTATTAGCAAACCATGATTCAGCAGTTCAAATGCGCTCATGGGTGAGATGAAGGTACTGTAGAGAAACACCCTAGGGAGATTCCTGTATCTTGAACCCTCTGACTTCGGATCTAAGGTGCATCCCAAATGGCACCCTATACCCTGCCTAGTGCACTAAGTAGTGCAGTATATAGGGAATAGGGTGCCATTTGGGATGCAGACTAAGAAGGGCTATTACCAGAGCTTAAAGGAGGAGGAGTGGGGGGGGGGGCATAGGGCAGGGCATACAATGCAGTCAGGCCTGTTCCTGTTGCACTGATTTGCATGCTCAGATTTGCATGCTAGAGCAATGAGGGAGAGACGTGCCTGTACGAGTGTTGTCTCAAAGTGGGCAGAAGGCCAAAGGAGACAGATGAGCAGCGGAAGGGGGGAGTGAGGGGGGGTGTAGGAGAAAAGGTTGAGGCTTCCCCCAGGCTGACAGTGACACCTGACTGAGTGGCTGTTGGAGTGTTGAGTGCTGAAACCACAGACATAAAAGCAGGGCTGAAACAGTGTTACCATCCCCGACTTCTAGCTAGATCCTAATTATGAGGGGTTAGGGTAGGAGTTTAGCTAGATCCTAATTATGAGGGGTTAGGGCAGGAGTTTAGCTAGATCCTAATTATGAGGGTTTAGGGTAGGAGTTTAGCTAGATCCTAATTATGAGGGGTTAGGGTAGGAGTTTAGCTAGATCCTAATTATGAGGGGTTAGGGTAGGAGTTTAGCTAGATCCTAATTATGAGGGGTTAGGGTAGGAGTTTAGCTAGATGGACACACATATATTTTTGATAAAAAATATTTCTCAAGCAAGAATTTTGCTAAGAATGTCTGGGAGTGGTGAGTTGGGAAGGTAAAATTTAAAACGAGTTGTTGTTGGCAGAGAGGTTGGGAACGCTCTTTGTGTCACACCCTGGCTCTGGGACTCTATATGTTGAGCCAGGGTGTGTTCATTCTTTGTGTTTATTTCTATGTTGGTATTCTGGTGTGTTTATTTCTATGTTGGCTAGAGTGACTCCCAATCAGAGGCAACGAGTGTCAGCTGTCGTTGGTTGTCTCTGATTGGGAGCCATATTTATACTGTCTATTTTCCCTTTGTGTTTGTGGGTTCTTGTTCCGTGTTCGGTCATTGTTACCGTGGACTTCACGAGTCGTTTCTTGTTTTTGTATCGTGTTTACACTTTAACTAATTAAAGTATGTTCGTTCATCACGCTGCGCCTTGGTCTGTTCAATATGACGATCGTGACACTTTGTTATTGGTCTGTTAACTAATTTACCGCATGGTGATGTCGCCACGGCAAGCAGAAACTACCACCCATGCAAACAGGCTGATTCGAAGGTCCTGTGTAGATTGTTGAGCAGTCATAAATACCTGGCGTCTGCCCGGTACTCTACCCTGCACCTTAGAGACTGCTTCCCTATGTACATAGAGTCATTGAACACTGGTCACTTTAATAATGTTTACATAATGTTTATTGTTCTGAAACTGTTTCTGTAGATAGAAACAGATAAGATTAGCATTCCTGTAACATTAACATTATTTATTTGCTCTCTGAGAAATGAAGCTAATTGATGACTCATACTATATTCTGGACATAGTTCATCCATATAACTACTGCTGTAGATATATATATTGTCCACACTGTCTATACACAACATGTTTTTTTCTTCTTATTTACTATTATATATTGATTTTTATCTTGACTTTTTTACTCAGCCATGTGCACTGCTGGGAACACCGGAATCTTTTTTTAAACTGGAATTATCACTGAATTATTGTAATGTTTGTTTATGTGTCAGTTAATCCCATAAGGGACGGGTTGCCAACTGGCGATTTGCCCCGAAAATAAAACGTAATTCATTCAGTATTGTACTATTAGACATTTACTGCACTGCTGGAGCTAAAAACACAAGCATTTCGCTGCACCTGCTTTAACATCTGCTAATCTGTGTACGCGACAAATAAACGTTGATTTGATTTTGTATTTTCAACCAGCAACTATCAGGAAATAACACTGATCCATTTTTTTCCCACACTTTTACAGTGTTAGTTTCATCAGCTGTTGTACAATATGATACAAAACACAGGAAAAAACTAAACTTTGACTGTACTGGGCCTTTAAGAGCGATTATGTCTGCATTATGTCCACCTCTCCATTTTCTGAGTTGAGATCTGAGAGCACAACTTGTTTGTTTGTTTACAACTGAAAAGAGCACTTTCATGCTGACTCAAAGCCTTATTAGTAGTGGAGGTGGGGATACAAGGAGAAGACCCGACGAACGGCCAATAATGTGTCATAAGATACAGATGCCACGGATCCTCGATACCTTCTCATCTGCAAAACCAACTGGACCCAGACAGAACGCAGCTGAATGATACGCTCTGCTAAAACTATCAACCAAAAAAAACACTCTGGGGTAGTTTCCCGGACACACATTAAGCCTAGTTCTCAAATAAAAAGCACTTCCTGTGAAGAATCTCCATTGAGTATGCTTTTCCATCTAGGACTAGGCTTAATCTGTGTCTGGGAAACCAGCCCTCAAACTCACAGCATGTAAACCTACTAAGACCCATGGCAGCATCCAGTGAAACTCTGTGCTCACCTCATAGCCACGTTGCTCCCATCGATCACTATGGGTCTCAGGGCATCTCCCTCCTCACTGGTTGCATCCTCCCGGCTGGGTGGAGGGGTGAGGGGCAGGTTACTGAGGGTCTCCCCTCGGGTCACCAGGATAGACATGGTAGATGGGGCGCCCTCCTTCTCCCACTCCTTCTCCATCCCTTCTGGGCTGACTCCAGTCCGCACCAGCTCCCCCAGAACCCTGTTAGTGTCTGTGTTCAGGCCAAACTTCTGCAGCACGGTCCGGACCTGCGCTGGGGAGTAGCCCAGTTTACGGTAGAAGTCCAGCTGAGCCTCTCCAGGGTCTGTGGGGGTCTTGCGGCTCTCCTCCGGGGCAGAGCAGTGGGTGCCACTGGGGTGCATTCTCTCACAGATGGGGTGGGGTGGATGAGGATTGTGGAGGGCAGTCAGAGTGTCGAGCCATCCAGCTGTGTCGTGGGTCTCTGTGGGGCTCAGACGGGCTGTGTAGGAGAACTCTCTCCATGGGAAGACATCTTTGAGTGGGCGCAGCTTTGGGATAGCACTGCCTTCTACTTTCATCTCTCTCTCTCTCTCTCCTTCAGGCAGGTCTCATATATCACACCTGTTTTAAAAAACATGTCATCATTTTTGTGGGTGTGTGAAAGGGCTATTTAAAAGTTTGAGGTTTCCCCGAAAGCCTGTCATAATACTTAGAAAAGGGTTGAAAATAAACATGCACCAGTTCTACATACACCAGTAGGCTACAATTCATCTTGTAATGTAAGTTATCAACACTACAATCATTTTCTTGCTGTCTGAAAACAGATCACATCTTACTTTAGTAGCACTGACTTGGCTGATAATTACTTTATTGAGGGAAAATGTACTTGTTATGACTGTGATATGTGGTTGTCTCACCTAACTGTAAGTAGCTCTAGAAAAGAGCGTCTGCTAAATTACTAAAATGTAAATGTAATGTTAGTATTGACATTGATGTCTGTATTAGTTCTTACCACAAATACCATTAATTATCAGTTCATTTTAAAGATATTTCCACAGCAGTCAGAAAATATTCAGAACCCCGTGACTTTTTCCACATTTTGTTACGTTACAGCTTTATTCTAAAATTGATTAAATAAAAACAAATCCTCATCAATCTACACACAATAACCCATAATGACAAAGCGAAAAAAGGTTTTTAGAAATGTTTGCACATTTATTACAAATTAAAAACAGAAATACCTTATTTACATAAGTATTCAGACCCATTGCTATGAGATTCGAAATTGAGCTCAGGTGCATCCTGTTTCCATTGAGCATCCTTGAGATGTTTCTACAACTTGATTGGAGTCCACCTGTGGTCAATTCAATTGATTGGACATGATTTGGAAAGGCACACAACTGTCTATACAAGGTCCACAGTTGACAGTGCATGTCAGAGCAAAAACCAAGCCATGAGGTCGAAGGAATTGTCCGTAGAGCTCGAAGACAGGAGGAAGGGTACCAAAAAAGGTCTGCCGCATTGAAGGTCCCCAAGAACACAGTGGCCTCCATCATTCTTAAATGGAAAAAGTTTGGAACCACCAAGACTCTTCCTAGAGCTGGCCGCCCGGCCAAACTGAGCACTCAGGGGGAGAAGGGCCTTGGTCAGGGAGGTGACCAAGAACCTGATGGTCACTCTGAAAGAGCTCCAGAATTCCTCTGTGGAGATGGGAGAACCTTCCAGAAGGACAACCATCTCTGCAGCACTCCACCAATCAGGCCTTTATGGTAGAGTGGCCAGACGGATCCACTCCTCAGTAAAAGGCATATGACAGACCGCTTGGAGTTTGCCAAAAGGCTGATGAAACAAAGATTGAACTCTTTGGCCTCAATGCCAAGCATCAAGTCTGGAAGAAATCTGGCACCATCCCTACGGTGAAGCATGGCGGTGGCAGCATCATGCTGTGGGGATGTTTTTCAGCAGCAGGGACTGGGAGACTAGTCAGGATCGAGGGAAAGATGAACGGAGCAAAGTACAGAGAGATCCTTGATGAAAACCTGCTCCAGAGCGCTCAGGACCTCAGACTGGGGTGAAGGTTCACCTTCCAACAGGACAATGACCCTAAGCACACAGCCAAGACAATGCAGGAGTGGCTTTGGGACAAGTCTCTGAATGTCCTTGAGGGGCCCAGCCAGAGCCCCGACTGGAGAGACCTGAAAATAGCTGTGCAGCGACGCTCCCCATCCAACCTAACAGAGCTTAAGAGGATCTGCAGAGAAGAATGGGAGAAACTCTCCAAATACAGGTGTGCCAAACTTGTAGCGTCATACCCAAGAAGAGTCGAGGCTGTAATCGCTGCCAAAGGTGCTTCAACAAAGTATTGAGTAAAGGGTCTGAATACTTATGTAAATGTGATATTTCTGTTTTTTATTTGTAATACATTTGCTAAAACTGATAAACACCTGTTTTTGCTTTGTCATTATGGGGTATTATGTGTAGATTGATGAGGGGAAAAAAAACAATTTAATCCATTTTAGAATAAGGACTGTAACGTAACATAATGTGAAAAAACGTCAAGGGGTCTGAATACTTTCCGAATACACTGTATGTGGTCAAAATGATAATAATGCCATTTTTGTGTAAGAGCCGTTTGAAAGAAAATCCTGGAATTTCAGCCTGTTCAGGTGGGATGGGAACTTTTGGCCCACATCATGACGTCACAATGTGATCTGATTATAATAGACCAATGACTGTTTATATGGGTAAGGGGGTGGGCTCAAGACCATCCTATCAGCCAATCAGGGCTATGTATGTAGATATCTTCAAATTTGTTTCGTAAAGCCCACACGTTCAGACTGAGCATTTCAAGGGTGTTACAAGGTAGGATTAAAATGGATTTGTCCTTTTTTTTTGTCAACGATCTACACAAAATACTCAGTAATGTCAAAGTTGAAGTAAAAAAATATATGAAAAATAAAACACTAATATACTGTATCTTGATTACATAAGTATTCAACCCCCCTGAGTCAATGCATGTTAGAATCATCTTTGGCAGCGATTACAGCTGTGAGTCTTTCTGTGTAAGTTTCTAAGAGTTTTGCACACCTGGATTGTACAATATTTGTTTAGCACATTTTTACTCCTGAACTTGTTTAGGCTTGCCATAACAAAGGGTTTGAATAATTATTGACTCAAGAGATTTCAGCTTTACATTTTTAATTAATGATCTAAAAATGTCTAAAAACATAATTAAACTTTGACATTATGAGTATTGTGTGAAGGCCAGTGACCCAAAATCTCAATTTAATCCATTTTAAATTCAGTCTGTAACACAACAACATGTGGAAAAAGTAAAGGGGTGTGAATATTTTCTGAAGGTATACATATACACTACCAGTCAAAAGTTTGGACACACCTACTCATTCAAGGGATTTTCTTTATTTTTACTATTTTTTACATTGTAGAATAATAGTGAAGACATCAAAACTAAGAAATAACACATATGGAATCATGTAGTAACCAAAAAAGTGTTAAACAAAGTAGCCACCCTTTGCCTTGATGACAGCTTTGTACACTCTTGGCATTCTCTCAACTAGCTTCACGAGGAATGCTTTTCCAACAGTCTTGAAGGAGTTCCCACATATGCTGAGCACTTGTTGGCTGCTTTTCCTTCACTCTGTGGTCCGACTCATCCCAAACCATCTCAATTGGGTTGAGGTCGGGTTTTGTGGAGGCAAAAATAGAAAATATATTTTGATTTGTTTAACACTTTTTTGGTTACTACATGATTCCATATGTGTTATTCCATAGTTTTGATGTCTTCACTATTATTCTACATTGTAGAAAATAGCAAAAGTATCCTGGCGTTGCAAGCACCATGCTCTACCAACTGAGCTACAGGGGACTAATCATGGCCGAACAGCGACCGGGCACGCAGGGTCCATGCCCAGGGGCCCTGGCCTCCACAGGGCCCCCATTGTTAAGTCAACCTCACGCAGATATCATATTCACATGGCATAAGTCATGGCAGGTAATTAGCTGTAAAACTGAACAAAAATGTCTCTCCGCCCCATGGCAATATGTGTAGAATTGCAGAAAATTGCAGGGTCACTAGACTGTTTTTTCTACGAGGTGGGGGGCCCCCCAACCAAATCTTGCTTATGGCCCCCAAAAGCCATTGTTTTAATAATAATATAAGCCATTTAGTAGACGCTTTTATCCAAAGCAACTTACAGTCATGCATTTAACATAAAGGTGGTCCCGGGAATCAAACCTACTATCCTGGCGTTGCAAGCACCATGGTCTACCAACTGAGCACCACTAGTTTAACAGCCCCTAGGCCAGGGGTCCCCAATTACATTCATATATTCAGCCGTGGGCCGATTCTTTCTTAAGCGGATGGTCGGGGGGCCGGGACATAGTTATAAATAATTTGTACACTGCAAATTGACATGATTGACTTGATAAGACCGCAAGAATCCCAAACAAATACAGTATTTGACAAAAAACATAATCAATTTAAACCTATATTATAATGGGATACGATCACATATGCCTTTCTACATATGCGTGGGAATACTTGGGAACAGATTTCCTAAACTAAAATCACTTTGAGCTGATTTCCTAGTGATTTTATCGTCGTTTTACGTCCAACAATGAAAAATAAAATCACCCATGGGCTGCCTATTCGGGAACCCTGCCCTAGGCTACTCTACGATCAGGATAATGAAATTCCTAAAGTAAAGTTACCCTAATTAAAGTTGTACAGATGTAGGATCTTAATTTGATCACCCTGTTGCAGGAGAACTTTCCTGCAATGTAGGAAATGTAAAAGTTGTAGTGTATTTTAGTTTTTAAAAGGCTTCTGAAGTTCGTAATTTCCACGTTGAAATCTCCAACTTTCCTTACGAAAAATGTATCAACCCCATGAAAAAATGGCCATTAATTACAATCCACATAATAATTCACATTTCCAGTTGCTGCAGGATTATTTTCCTGCTGTAGCAAACGGGCTCAAATCAAATGTAACTCTTGATGACAAGTGCTCCTGTCTGTCACGTCTCCCGAGTGGCGCAGTGGTCTAAGGCTGTGCCACTAGAGATCCTAGATCCTGGTTCGAATCCAGGCTCTGTCATAGCCAGCTGTGACCGGGAGACCCATGGGGTGGCGCACAATTGGCCCAGGGTAGGGGAGGGAATGGCCGGCAGGGATGTAGCTCAGTTGGTAGAGCATGGTGTTTGCAACGCCAGGGTTGTGGGTTCGATTCCCACGGGGGGCCAGTATGATAAATAAAAAAATAATGTATGCACTCACTAACTGTAAGTCGCTCTGGATAAGAGCGTCTGCTAAATGACTAAAATGTAAATGTCAGTATCCTTGAATGGGACCTAACAGCCTGGTCTCATAGACTAGACGTAACATAGCAAATGTAAATCAGGGACACTCAAATTAATATGATATGTTACGTTTGGTATGGTTAATTAAGACAGATGGCTACTTAAGGTAAAAAGGTTGGGGTGGGTGTATAATGCAAACGTCTAGCAACCCAAAGGTTGCGAGTTTGAATCTCATCAAGGACAACTTTGGCGTTTTAGCAACTTTTCAACTACCTAGCATGTTAGCTAACCCTTCCCCTAACCCTAACCTTAAACCTTTAGCCTAACTCCTAAACTTAACCCTAACCTTAACCCTAACCCCTAGCCTAGCTAACGTTAGCCAGCTATCTAGAATTCGTAACATAACATACGTTTTTCAACATCGTAACATATTGTACTTTTAGAAAATTCGTAACATATTGTACGTTTTTTGCAAATTCGAACATATAATAAGAATTGTAATTCATAACAAACCATACGAAATGGGTGATGGACATCCACAAGTTAATACATACAGTAACATACAAAACGTAACGTATCATACTTAATAGAGTGTCTCGGATTTACATACAGAATCATACGAAATGCTCTGCGACCAGGTTGGACTTAAAGAAAACGTGTATATTGTGTAAATTATCTATTATATTCCTTTACTCAAGTTCCTCTACTGTGAATTTACAGCTGACCTACAGTAGCCTAACTTCGGGCAGAAAATACAAGTACTGTTGTTCGTCTAGTTCTACTGTACTATCTTGTACTTAAGCTACCAATAGGCTACACTCCTGTTCAATGGATAACATAATTTATTGTGTAGTCATGCGTTTCCCTAACAGAGGTGGAAATAACTCATGGTCCATGTGTGAAAAATCCACCTATAATTATTAGAATGCCTGAGCTTGACCAGTATGTTTTTCTGAAAGTGAAACGTCATTTTTCCCCACCTAAAGTTGAGGTCCAAAAGGCAACGGATAGGAATGGCCCGTTGGTTTACTGTATCAATAGCCTAAATGTATATTGTCCACCACTCGAGAATTTAAAGGAAATTAAATAAATTGCCGGTGTTCATTCCCAGACATTTGTCGACGAGATGTTAAATGTAGCCTATGAGTATCAACCCGAGTTATCCTTTTTGATTTGTTCCGCAAGTTAGTCCGTTTCGGAAAACCTAAACATATAGTCTGACTTCCTGAACTGTTGACACCGTAATCAGCCTACGTGTTGCCAAATAAGAAACAAAGTGTACCTGTCAATGTTGTTACTTACCAGTATTTTATAGTCCTACAGTTTCGGGATTTCATGTAACGTTGGTGTTGGTATCCATGTGAAATGTGTCTCTCTCTGTGAGCAGTTTCACCGTGGACGGTCAGCTGCACCGGCTAAATATCGGGGGCGATGACGTCATAGGCTTCAACTCCGCAAGAGGAAATAGAGGGTTTTTCCCGTCTTTTCTTTAGGTTACAAAACAGGCCAACGGCAGTTGATCATTCATTCACCAGCCAACTAAACAGTTGTTTCAAAGCCTTTTACAAAAAAGTTTCAAGTGCGCCTAGTGAATCAGGCCTTTCTTTTTATTTTCTGTATAGATTTCTGCCAATGGATTGGATCTTCCTTTCTAAGTGTTGTTGATGACATAAAGGGGAAAAAGGCTGATAGTATCGGTGAGCTTTTCCCTTTACACTGTCATATACACTATTATAGCCCACTCTCTATTATCTACTGTCTATAACCCACCGAATGGTCCACAATCCGAAAAGAAAGTATACGTTTGAGATTCCATAGACAAAGCTGGAAAATAACTACTCTACATTTTCCTACACCGTAAAAGGAGGATAAAGGTCAACTCATTGTTGGTATAAGCTTAGACCCAGCCCAGACAGCCAGTTCATGTAAGACAGAGAAGTCACCGGTGTGGTCTGATGACCTGTGTGACAGAACAATACACCCTTTCTCTGCACTTGTATGCCTAAAGCTCTTACCTGACTTCATCATACTGGCATGTGTCTGAGTTGTTTTTTATTTTCCATTCTCAAGAGCGACTCAGAAAGCCCTGTTAAGCAGTACCTGATTGATGCTTAGGCTATTTTCTTATGGATCATCATTTATGCATCACAATGAATCATATATGTCTGTCTGCTGGCAATATGTAATTGTTTTACTTAACCTTGCAATATAAATCTTTTAGAATCAGTGCCATATGACATTTAAAAAAACGTATTTCCTGTTTCATCACAGAAAGCGATTATAAACCAAATATCTTTGAATAGATACATTTTGAGAGGGAGGATCTGGTCATCTTGAAGACTACATTAATTTGAAGTAGTATTTTCCAGTAGGACTATTACATTTAACCCTATAGGAGTCACTGACTGTGGGTTTAGTCATGAGTTAGAAGTTGGAATATTCTTTGTGTGGGGAACAAATCATTACATTTACATCATCAAATCATCAGAGAGTGCCAAGTGCAGATGTGTTAATTTACCAGTAACCATCACATTATCAACTGCAAGGTAGTGTAGAAGTTGGCTATTCCCTATTAAACATGCAATTGTCGTGGAAACATCAAACTGTGTATTGGAATGACAGTGTTGTGCTTATTGCGGCCAGCAGAGGGGGCACTCGCTTTTGCTGGTTGCTTCTCACACTCTCGTTCTAGCAACTCTGGCTCTCGCGCTAGCGTAGTCAGTTCAGTTGATGGAGATGTACATGAAGGAAGACCAGATAAATGTATTGTTATAATCTTTATTTCAAAGGGGATTGAGGAGAAAATGACATGTAATGTTATTGTAATGTACATAAAGAAGCACCAGATATACTGTATATCACGTGTCAAAGTCATTCCACAGACGGCAGAGTGTCTGCGGGTTTTCGTTCCTCCCTTGTACTTGATTGATAAAATAATGTCACTAATTAGTAAGGAACTCCCCTCACCTGGTTGTCTAACCTGCAGACAATAGGCCCTCTGTGGAATGAGTTTGACACCTCTGCTGTATATTGTTTTAAACTGTAGTAGAAGTGTGGAACTCTCTTCCTTCTTCTCACAACACATTAACCACAGCTGCCTCTTACCTTGGCCTCAGAACACAATGGACGTCTAGACAAATACATGTTTGGAAGTCTAGATAAATAAATGTGTGGAAGATTTGACATTGTATTAATTGTTTGGGGGTTTTGGGCACAGTTCTGAGGTTCATTGGACAATAACTGAATTGTATGTTAATGCTTATATGTTAGTCTTATGTTTCTATGACATTTCGTCTTCCTAGGTTTTTCCTTAGGTTCTACAGGCTTCCCTGGAGGTTCACGCTCACCAGGCTCTGTTGGTTCAGGCTCTACTGGTTCAGGTTCTGCTGGTTCAGGCCCTGCTGGTTCAGGCTCTTCAGCCTCTGCTGGTTCAGGCTCTGCTGGTTCAGGCTCCACTGATTCAGGCTCTGCTGGTTCAAGCTCTGCTGGTTCAGGCTCTACTAGTTCAGGCTCCCCTGAAGGTTCAGGCTCTACTGGTTCTGCTGATTCAGGCTCTACTGGTTCTGCTGATTCAGGCTCTACTGGCTCAGGCTCTACTGGCTCAGGCTCTACTGGCTCAGGCTCTGCTGGTTCAGGCTGTACTGGTTCAGGCTCCCCTGAAGGTTCAGGCTCTACTGGTTCTACTGGTTCAAGCTCTACTGGTTCAGGCTCTGCTGGTTCAGGCTCTTCTACTGGCTCAGGCACTTCAGGCTCTGCTGGTTCAGGTTCATCAGGCTCTACTGGTTCAGGCTCTGCTGGTTCAGGCTCTACAGACTCTGCTGGTTCAGTCTCTCCTGGTTCAGGTTCTTCATATTCTGCTGGTTCTGTCTCTGCTGGTCCAAGCTCTGCAGGTTCAGGCTCTGCGTGCTCAGGCTCTACTGGCTCAGGCTCTGCTGGTTCAGGCTCTGCGCGCTCAGGCTCTGCTGGTTCAGGCTCTGTGGGCTCAGGCTCTGCTGGTTCAGGCTCTTCTACTGGCTCAGGCTCTGCTGGTTCAGGCTCTGCAGGCTCAGGCTCTGCTGGTTCAGGCTCTTCTACTGGCTCAGGCTCTGCTGGTTCAGGGTCTGCGGGCTCAGGCTCTGCTGGTTCAGGCTCCTCTACTGGCTCAGGCTCTGCTGGTTCAGGCTCTTCTACTGGCTCAGGCTCTGCTGGTTCAGGCTCTGCGGATTCAGGCTCTGCTGGTTCAGGCTCTTCTACAGGCTCAGGCTCTGCTGGTTCAGGCTCTTCTACTGGCTCAGGCTCTGCTGGTTCAGGCTCTGCGGGCTCAGGCTCTGCTGGTTCAGGCTCTTCTACTGGCTCAGGCTCTGCTGGTTCAGGCTCTGCGGGCTCAGGCTCTGCTGGTTCAGGCTCTTCTATTGGCTCAGGCTCTGCTTGTTCAGGCTCTGCAGGCTCAGGCTCTGCTGGTTCAGGCTCTTCTTCTGGCTCAGGCTCTGCTGGTTCAGGCTCTGCGGGCTCAGGCTCTGCTGGTTCAGGCTCTTCTACTGGCTCAGGCTCTGCTGGTTCAGGCTCCCCAGGCTCTGCTGGTTCAGGCTCTGCTTGTCCAGGTTCGTCATGTTCTGCTGGTTCAGGTTCTGCTGGTTCAGACTCTACTAGTTCAGGCCCTGCTGGTTCAGGATCTGCTGGTTCAGGCTCTGCTGGTTCAGGCTCCCCAGGCTCTGCTGGTTCAGGCCCTGCTTGTCCAGGATCTGCTGGTTCAGGCTCTGCTGGTTCAGGCTCCCCAGGCTCTGCTGGTTCAGACTCTGCTTGTCCAGGTTCGTCATGTTCTGCTGGTTCAGGTTCTGCTGGTTCAGGCTCTACTAGTTCAGGCTCTGCTGGTTCAGGCTCTACTGGTTCAGGCTCTGCTGATTCAGGCTCTACTGGTTTAGGCTCTACTGGTTCAGGCTCTTCAGGTTCTGCGGGTTCAGGCTCTACTGGTTCAGGCTCTACTGGTTCAGGGTCTACTAGTTCAGTCTCTGCTGGTTCAGATTCTACTGGTTCAGGCTCTGCTGATTCAGGCTCTACTGGTTCAGGCTCTGCTGGTTCAGACTCTGCCTGTCTAGGTTCGTCATGTTCTGCTGGTTCAGGTTCTGCTGGTTCAGGCTCTACTAGTTCAGGCTCTGCTGGTTCAGGCTCTACTGGTTCAGGCTCTACTGGTTCAGGCTCTACTGGTTCAGGCTCTTCAGGTTCTGCTGGTTCAGGCTCTACTGGTTCAGGCTCTGCTGATTCAGGCTCTGCTGGTTCAGGCTCTGCTGGTTCAGGCTCTACAGACTCTGCTGGTTCAGTCTCTCCTGGTTCAGGTTCTTCATATTCTGCTGGTTCTGTCTCTGCTGGTCCAAGCTCTGCAGGTTCAGGCTCTGCGCGCTCAGGCTCTGCTGGTTCAGGCTCTGCGGGCTCAGGCTCTGCTGGTTCAGGCTCTTCTACTGGCTCAGGCTCTGCTGGTAGAGGCTCTGCAGGCTCAGGCTCTGCTGGCTCAGGCTCTTCTACTGGCTCAGGCTCTGCTGGTTCAGGGTCTGCGGGCTCAGGCTCTGCTGGTTCAGGCTCTTCTACTGGCTCAGGCTCTGCTGGTTCAGGGTCTGCGGGCTCAGGCTCTGCTGGTTCAGGCTCTTCTACTGGCTCAGGCTCTGCTGGTTCAGGCTCTTCTACTGGCTCAGGCTCTGCTGGTTCAGGCTCTGCGGATTCAGGCTCTGCTGGTTCAGGCTCTTCTATTGGCTCAGGCTCTGCTGGTTCAGGCTCTACAGGCTCAGGCTCTGCTGGTTCAGGCTCCTCTACTGGCTCAGGCTCTGCTGGTTCAGGCTCTTCTACTGGCTCAGGCTCTGCTGGTTCAGGCTCTGCGGGCTCAGGCTCTGCTGGTTCAGGCTCTTCTATTGGCTCAGGCTCTGCTGGTTCAGGCTCTGCAGGCTCAGGCTCTGCTGGTTCAGGCTCTTCTTCTGGCTCAGGCTCTGCTGGTTCAGGCTCTGCGGGCTCAGGCTCTGCTGGTTCAGGCTCTTCTACTGGCTCAGGCTCTGCTGGTTCAGGCTCTGCAGGCTCAGGCTCTGCTGGTTCAGGCTCTTCTACTGGCTCAGGCTCTGCTGGTTCAGGCTCTGCGGGCTCAGGCTCTGCTGGTTCAGGCTCTTCTATTGGCTCAGGCTCTGCTGGTTCAGGCTCTGCAGGCTCAGGCTCTGCTGGTTCAGGCTCTTCTTCTGGCTCAGGCTCTGCTGGTTCAGGCTCTGCGGGCTCAGGCTCTGCTGGTTCAGGCTCTTCTACTGGCTCAGGCTCTGCTGGTTCAGGCTCCCCAGGCTCTGCTGGTTCAGGCTCTGCTTGTCCAGGTTCGTCATGTTCTGCTGGTTCAGGTTCTGCTGGTTCAGACTCTACTAGTTCAGGCCCTCCTGGTTCAGGATCTGCTGGTTCAGGCTCTGCTGGTTCAGGCTCCCCAGGCTCTGCTGGTTCAGGCCCTGCTTGTCCAGGATCTGCTGGTTCAGGCTCTGCTGGTTCAGGCTCCCCAGGCTCTGCTGGTTCAGACTCTGCTTGTCCAGGTTCGTCATGTTCTGCTGGTTCAGGTTCTGCTGGTTCAGGCTCTACTAGTTCAGGCTCTGCTGGTTCAGGCTCTACTGGTTCAGGCTCTGCTGATTCAGGCTCTACTGGTTCAGGCTCTGCTGATTCAGGCTCTACTGGTTCAGGCTCTGCTGGTTCAGACTCTGCTTGTCTAGGTTCGTCATGTTCTGCTGGTTCAGGTTCTGCTGGTTCAGGCTCTACTAGTTCAAGCTCTGCTGGTTCAGGCTCTACTGGTTCAGGCTCTGCTGATTCAGGTTCTACTGGTTCAGGCTCTACTGGTTCAGGCTCTTCAGGTTCTGCTGGTTCAGGCTCTGGTTCAAGTTCTGCTGGTTCAGGCTCTACTGGTTGAAGCTGTATTGGTTCAGGCTCTGCTGGTTCAGGCTCTGGTTCAGGCTCTACTAGGTGTTCATATGAACCGCTCCCTGGTTGTCTATTGACCTCAATGATGTTCTGGATGAGGTCCGGACTGGGGAAGTCCATGCTGATTACCCCCAAGCAGTCTGGTTTATCAGAGCCTGTCTTTAGTTTACCCATAAGCTTATTGAGCTGATCATTAACCACCCTGGCCACAGTTTTAGGGCCTTTGAAAAAGCCTGTGGCGGAGGTGTCAGTCAGTGTAATTGCATGAGCACAATTATTTTGAGCTTCTTTTAGATGTTTTGTGATCGTCTTCATCTTGTTTACAACATCTTTGAACCAGTCGTCGAAAGTGACGAAAGTATCATGGTGAAGGGTTCCGACATTGAAATTGGTACTCTGCAAAAAGACGATCTTCCTTCTCGCGTCTCGCATGTGGGGGACCAACGTCTTTGTCCATACTTTATCTTCAGATTTCTTGATCAATTCCTCAATAGATTCTCTAGCTTTCTTGATGCTCATCCCTTGCAGTGTCACTCTCAAAAGCACAGTCTCACTTTCATATTTACCCAAGAACTCCCACAGAAGGTTTAGCACCTCATGGAACTTGGTATGTTTTATATGCCCATCCATGACATCAAGGGTGTTGTAGAAAATACTGGCCTCTATACGTAAATCAAAGTACCGCAATCCTGCTTTCAGCTGGTTGTCCAAGGTCCAAGCCTGACACTGTATAAGTGGTCCACCGTACAGAGTTAGGCTCTCATGAGTTCCAGGAATAGTAACAGCTGAAAGGAGTTGGTCATCAGGTATAGATTCCATCCACTTTTCCTTATAAGAGTTTTCATGAAGCATTGAGTTGTCACTAAAACCTGAACCACAAGCAGTTGTGAAAATCCTGAAAGGGAAGAGACATAAAATCACATTTATATCAACCTACATTAATATTATGATTATGTCATGTTTATGACGAACTCCATGTGGCAAAAAAATGGTGTGCAAGCAGATAACTCTTACTTACAAAGAGAGAAGATATAGGCATAGAGGGAAGCCCATGGTTGTAGTATTCCCAATGAAGCCAGTCTGAGAAAGGAAAGAGTGGATATGGAAATACAGTACACTCATCTCCTTTACTGTAGAACAATGACTACTTACTAAACTCCTTTACTGTAGAACAATGACTACGTACTAAACTCCTTTACTGTAGAACAATGACTACATACTAAACTCCTTTACTGTATAACAATGACTACGTACTAAACTCCTTTACTGTATAACAATGACTACGTACTAAACTCCTTTACTGTATAACAATGACTACGTACTAAACTCCTTTACTGTATAACAATGACTACGTAGTAAACTCCTTTACTGTATAACAATGACTACGTACTAAACTCCTTTACTGTATAACAATGACTACGTACTAAACTCCTTTACTGTAGAACAATGACTACGTACTAAACTCCTTTACTGTAGAACAATGACTATGTACTAAACTCCTTTACTGTATAACAATGACTACGTACTAAACTCCTTTACTGTATAACAATGACTACGTACTAAACTCCTTTACTGTATAACAATGACTACATACTAAACTCCTTTACTGTAGAACAATGACTACGTACTAAACTCCTTTACTGTATAACAATGACTACGTACTAAACTCCTTTACTGTAGAACAATGACTACGTACTAAACTCCTTTACTGTAGAACAATGACTACATACTAAATTTACAAACCCATGGAATGCAATAGCTAAACTCAGATTGTGAGAATTGTTTTAGCTATTTTAAAAACTCAAACCTTATCCTCCCTCAAAAGCCAAATAATCACAGAATTGAAAGTGATCTGAGAGTTAAAAAACAATACATTGAAGATATTTCCTTACCTCTAAAGGTGTTGTATAGTATAGTAGAGGATAGTATTCTAATCCCCCAGTTGGTAGGAGCGGTTAACTATGATCAAGTTCGTGGAACCATCTCTGTGGCTCACAAATTTACATAAAAGATACAGTAGAAGGAATTTGCGTGCTCTACTGTCCCTGTCCTGCCTTAAGTCACACACACACATCCACACACACTAATACATCCCATTCCATGAGACTGTACCCCATGATAAATTGATATAGATTAAAAAATTTACAAAAGATGATGATGATGATGACGATGATGATGAGAGAGTTGTTGAACATTTTGACTTTGGAACGTTTCCTTTCAACATTACAGAAACATTTGCTAGACACAATAATTAAACTGTAATGTGTGATTACTGATTTATCTCCCGTTTTATGGTAACAGAAAAGGAGCAATTCATTAATGTGAATATTTTTCATATTGTTATACAGCCGTCAGTGGCATGACAGAAGCTATTCAAACTCGTATTTACTAATACACAACTGGAAATTAACACCTTCCCACATGGTTATGAACGCAGCATTAGACTACGTTATCATATCCAGCAGTAGGCTAAGTACCAGCCTACAGCCATTGGTACCAGCAGTAAACTGGTTTGGATTTTCTCAAATGGAATTACTTCTGGGAGAGTTGTGGGTGGGCAATGTTGTGGTTCAATTTGTCTGATTGGTTGTGTTCTGCCGTGACACGTGATTTTGAGCGAATCAAGAAGCCACCTGTCATGCGCACCTGTTGCACTTGCACACTGTAACGTAGACACAGGGAGTCTGGAAGCAAGTGCAGTGTGAGTTTAATGAAAACGAACATGGAACAAATACAAAACAAGAGAAGCGTCTAACAAGGAAAACATAACCAGTACTACCTGATGACTGACAGAACAGAGTGCTTGATAAATGGTAAGTAATCAAGGTAGTAATGAAGTCCAGGTGTGACTGATGATGGGTCGCAGGTGTTCGTAATAATGGTGCCAGGTGTGCGTAATGATGGGTTGCCAGGATCGGTGGTTAATAGACCGGTGACGTCGAGCGCCGGAGGGGGCGAGCAGGAGTAGACGGGACAGTACCCCCCCAACGCACGGCTCCAACAGCAGGACGACACCGGCCAGGGATACGGCCCAGAGGGCGAGGAGCGGGCCCGGTCCGGACGCCGAAGGTGGAAATGTCGGATGATGTTGAGAAGGGAAACATGAAAAGATGGTGAAATCCGGTAATTAGTGGGGAGTTGGCTGGGGGACTGGCTCGCTGGGATGACTCGTGGTAGAAGGCCCTCCGCTATTTGAAAGTGAAATTCCCTGTGGCACCGGACTCCACTAGAGCCGTAGAGACAACATCTGAGGGACAGCCAGCCAGTGAAATAGAAACCAGGAAGGGTTTGGTGGAAATCGATGAAGGAATACTCACGTCTACCCTGGGAGACAGATGACCACGGGGCTGTCCCTCTGCCCCGGTGGACTTCGGGTTAGTGCGCACCAGACACAGCTGTAGCCGGTGCCCCTCCTGGCTGCAATAGGGACACAACCCCAGTCGTCTCCAGCGACGTCGCTCTGCCGCGGAGAGATGTGACCTCTATTTCAGGCTCTGCCTCAGGACGGCGAGGGACGGGGGGACCGCCGACGCTCCCGAAGAAGGTTGTCCTCCTCGCGCAGTCCTCTTCAGAATAGGGTGCGGAGCGCCAGCTCATTCCATCCACTGGAGGCTGCCGCGGTCCGGAAGGTGAGGGCGTACTCTGCAGCGGTCTGGGCACCCTGCCGGAGTTGGGGTAGTCGCTGACGTCCCTCTCTGCCCTCCGGTGGATGGTCGAAGACCGCCCTGAACAGAGCCATGAACCCCTTGTAGGAATCCAGCTCCTCCTCTCCTCTCTCCCAGACGGCCGTAGCCCACTCTGACGCCCGCACGGTCAGCAGGGAAATGACCGTAGCAACCTTGGACCTCTCGGTGGTGGGGGCTCCCGTCTGATGAGTGAAATAGAGGGAGCACTGGAGTAGGAAGCCACGGCATTTGGATGGAGTCGCATCATATTTTCCCAGGAGGGACAGTTGGGAATCACCGACCTGGGCGGACTGCTGGGTAGGCTGGGGGACTGGCTCGCTGGGATGACTCGTGGTAGAAGGCCCTCCGCTATTTGAAAGTGAATCCTCTCGGGTGGTGTCGAGGTGGTGGAGGACGTGGAAGACCTCATCCATAGTTGCACGCAGTTGTGCCAGCTGATCGTGGTGTTGGTGGAGAAGGTGTCCCTGTTCGCCGACCGTCTGATATATATACAGTATCTCACAAAAGTGAGTACACCCCTCACATTTTTGTAAATATTTGAGTATATCTTTTCATGTGACAACACTGAAAAAATGACACTTTGCTACAATGTAAAGTAGTGAGTGTACAGCTTGTATAACAGTGTAAATTTGCTGTCCCCTCAAAATAACTCAACACACAGCCATTAATGTCTAAACCGCTGGCAACAAAAGTGAGTACACCCCTAAGTGAAAATGTCCAAATTGGGCCCAATTAGCTTTTTTTTTTTTTAACAACACAATACTAATGTTTTAACTTAGGAAGAGTTCAGAAATCAATATTTGGTGGAATAAACCTGATTTTCAATCACAGCTTTCATGTGTCTTGGCATGCTCTCCACCAGTCTTTCACATTGATGTTGGGTGACTTTATGCCACTCCTGGCGCAAAACTTCAAGCAGCTCGGCTTTGTTTGATGGCTTGTGACCATCCATCTTCCTCTTGATCACATTCCAGAAGTTTTCAATGGGGTTCAGGTCTGGAGATTGGGCTGGCCATGACAGGGTCTTGATCTGGTGGTCCTCCATCCACACCTTGATTGACCTGGCTGTGTGGCATGGCGCATTGTCCTGCTGGAAAAACCAATCCTCAGAGTTGGGGAACAATGTCAGAGCAAAAGGAAGCAAGTTTTCTTCCAGGACAACCTTGTACATGGCTTGATTCATGCGTCCTTCACAAAGACAAATCTGCCCGATTCCAGCCTTGCTGAAGCACCACCAGATCATCACTGATCCTTCACCAAATTTCACAGTGGTGCGAGACACTGTGGCTTAGGCCTCTCCAGGTCTCCGTCTAACCATTAGATGACCAGGTGTTGGGCAAAGCTGAAAATTGGACTCATCAGAGAAGATAGCTAGCTGAATAAACTAAGTTAGAGTCTATTCCTGGAAACATTGAACCACTGTAGATTACAACAATTATAATTTCTAAATTGGAAGTTGGAAGAGTTGTATTTGAGTGTTTCAGTGAAAGGTTAGTGAGGGAGGCCTCGCTTCCCCAGGTGTTTAGTTAATTTCATTCCGATCTCCTTTGCAATAGTGTAGCCTCTTCTGTAGCCTGTCAACTATGTGTCTGTCTATCCCTGTTCTCTCCTCTCCGCACAGGCCATACAAACGCCTCACACCGCGTGGCTGCTGCCACTCTAACCTGGTGGTCCCTGCACGCACGACCCACGTGGAGTTCCAGCCTCTGGAACTGCCTTTCTGCGGCCAACAAGGCAGAGTTCATCTCAGCCTATGCTACCCTCCAGTCCCTCGACTTCTTGGCGCTGACGGAAACATGGATTACCACAGAAAACACTGCTACTCCTACTGCTCTCTCCTCGTCTGACCATGTGTTCTCACATACCCCGATAGCATCTGGTCAGCGGGGTGGTGGCACAGGAATCCTCATCTCTCCCAAGTGGACATTCTCTCTTTCTCCCCTGACCCATCTGTCTATCTCCTCATTTGAATTCCATGCTGTCACAGTCACTAGCCCATTCAAGCTTAACATCCTTATCATTTATCGCCCTCCAGGTTCCCTTGGAGAGTTCATCATTGAGCTTGACGCCTTGATAAGTTTATTTCCTGAGGATGGCTCACCCCTCACAGTTCTGGGTGACTTTAACCTCTTTACGTTTACCTTTGACTAATTTATCTCTGCCTCCTTCTTTCTTCTCCTCTCCTCTTTTGACCTCACTCTCTCACCGTCCCCCCCTACTCACAAGGCAGGCAATACGCTTGACCTCATCTTTACTTGATGCTGTTCTTCTACTAATCTCACTGCAACTCCCCTCCAAGTCTCCGACCACTACTTTGTATCCTTTTCTCTCTCGCTCTCCTCCAACACTACTCACTCTGCCCCTACTCAGATGGTAATGCGCCGTCGCAACCGTCGCTCTCTCTCCCGCTACCCTCTCCTCTTCCATCCTATCATTTCTTCCCTCTGCTCAATCCTTCTCCCTCCAATCTCCTGATTCTGCCTCCTTAAACCTCCTCTCCTCCCTTTCTGCATCCTTTGACTCTCTATGTCCCCTATCCTCCCGGCCAGCTCGGTCCTCCCCTCCTGCTCCGTGGCTTGACGACTCATTGCGAGCTCACAGAACAGGGCTCCGGAAAGCCGAGCGGAAATGGAGGAAAACTAGACTCCCTGCGGACCTGGCATCTTTTCACTCCCTCCTCTCTACATTTTCTTCCTCTGTTTCTGCTGCTAAAGCCACTTTCTATCACTCTAAATTCCAAGCATCTGCCTCTAACCCTAGGAAGCTCTTTGCCACCTTCTCCTCCCTGCTGAACCCCCCCCCCCCCCCCCTCTGTGGATGACTTCGTCAACCATTTTGAAAAGAAGGTTGACGACATCCGATCCTCGTTTGTTAAGTCAAATGACACCGCTGGTCCTGCTTACACTGCCCTATCCTATGCTTTGACTTCTTTCTCCCCCCTCTCTCCAGATGAAATCTTGCGACTTGTGACGGCCGGCCGCCCAACAACCTGCACGCTTGACCCTATCCCCTCCTCTCGTCTCCAGACCATTTCCGGAGACCTTCGCCCTTACCTCACCTCGCTAATCAACTCATCCTTGACCGCTGGCTATGTCCCTTCCGTCTTCAAGAGAGCGAGAGTTGCACCCCTTCTCAAAAAACCTACACTCGATCCCTCCGATGTCAACAACTACAGACCAGTATCCCTTCTTTCTTTTCTCTCCAAAACTCTTGAGCGTGCCGTCTTTAGCCAACTCTCTTGCTATCTCTCTCAGAATGACCTTCTTGATCCAAACCAGTCAGGTTTCAAGACTGGCCATTCAACTGAGACTGCTCTTCTCTGTGTCACGGAGGCTCTCCGCACTGCTAAAGCTAACTCTCTCTCCTCTGCTCTCGTCCTTCTAGACCTATCTGCTGCCTTTGATACTGTGAACCATCAGATCCTCCTCTCCACCCTCTCCGAGTTGGGCATCTCCGGCGCGGCTCACTCTTGGATTGCGTCCTACCTGACAGGTCGCTCCTACCAGGTGGCGTGGCGAAAATCTGTCTCCGCACCACGGGCTCTCACCACTGGTGTCCCCCAGGGCTCAGTTCTAGGCCCTCTCCTATTCTCGCTATACACCAAGTCACTTGGCTCTGTCATATCCTCACATGGCCTCTCCTATCATTGCTACGCAGACGACACACAATTAATCTTCTCCTTTCCCCCTTCTGATAACCAGGTGGCGAATCGCATCTCTGCATGTCTGGCAGACATATCAGTGTGGATGACAGATCACCACCTGAAGCTGAACCTCGGCAAGACGGAGCTGCTCTTCCTCCCGGGGAAGGACTGCCCGTTCCATGATCTCGCATCACGGTTGACAACTCCGTTGTGTCCTCCTCCCAGAGTGCAAAGAGTCTTGGCGTGACCCTGGACAACACCCTGTCGTTCTCCGCTAACATCAAGGCGGTGACCCGATCCTGTAGGTTCATGCTCTACAACATTCGCAGAGTACGACCCTGCCTTACACAGGAAGCGGCACAGGTCCTAATCCAGGCACTTGTCATCTCCCATCTCGATTACTGCAACTCGCTGTTGGCTGGGCTCCCTGCCTGTGCCATTAAACCCCTACAACTCATCCAGAACGCTGCAGCCCGTCTGGTGTTCAACCTTCCCAAGTTCTCTCACGTCACCCCGCTCCTCCGCACACTCCACTGGCTTCCAGTTGAAGCTCGCATCTGCTACAAGACCATGGTGCTTGCCTACAGAGCTGTGAGGGGAACGGCACCTCTGTACCTTCAGGCTCTGATCAGTCCCTACACCCAAACGAGGGCATTGCGTTCATCCACCTCTGGCCTGCTGGCCCCCCTACCTCTGCGGAAGCACAGTTCCCGCTCAGACCAGTCAAAACTGTTCGCTGCTCTGGCACCCCAATGGTGGAACAAGCTCCCTCACGACGCCAGGACAGCGGAGTCACTCACCACCTTCCGGAGACACTTGAAACCCCACCTCTTTAAGGAATACCTGGGATAGGATAAAGTAATCCTTCTACCCCCCCTTACCTCACCCCCCAAAAAAATAAAAATAAAATAATAATATTGTAAAGTGGTTGTCCCACTGGCTATAAGGTGAATGCACCAATTTGTAAGTCACTCTGGATAAGAACGTCTGCTAAATGACGAAAATGTAAATGTAAATGTAAGATGACCTTACTCCAGTCCTCTACGGTCCAATCCTTATGGTCTTTTGCAAATCTCAGCCTGGCTCTTCTTTGCTTCTCATTGATGAAGGGCTTTTTTCTAGCTTTGCACGACTTCAGCCCTGCCCCTAGGAGCCTGTTTCGAGCCGTCACCCCAGCTGCCATTTGCATTCTTTTTGTAGGTCACTTGATGTCATCCTACGGTTGTTGAGTGACATTCTAATGAGTTGGCGGTCATCCCGGTCAGTAGAGAGTCGTTTTCGCCCTCTGCCGGTCTGTATCTTTGTTGTCCCCAATGTCTGCTGCTTGACCTTGTTCTTATGAACCGCCGTCTTTGAAATTTTAAGGATGGAAGCAACCTGACACTCACTGTATCCCTCTGCCAGTAAAACCAGAATTGAACCCTTCTTTTCCTCACTCAAAACTTTCCTTTTCAACTCTTTTGGTATGGTCAATAGTTATTTTTTGATTAATATTACTTTTGAGGTACTATTAGCACTGTTTTTGCCTTCCAGCTGGTCCTATTACAAGAGGATAGTGATGACCACAGCAGTGGATTTTATACTTTTCCTCGTTAAATAAGATTTGGTTCAGGTGATCACCTAATAAGTACCTAATTCAGTAGAATGAGGTGTGCCTGTGTTGGAATTCAACAGACACTGGAATGGAATGGCTGTCATACATGTAGAGATGCTGATTTAAGAAAAATTTGCAGTGGTCTCTTAATTTTTTCCAGAGCTGTATATATATATATATCTCTTCTGCTGCTTCCATATTTTTGAGGTAGTATTCTGTAATGTAGACACAGGGAGTCTGGAAGCAAGTGCAGTGTGAGTTTAATGAAAACGAACATGGAACAAATACAAAACAAGAGAAGCGTCTAACAAGGAAAACATAACCAATACTACCTGATGACTGACAGAACAGAGTGCTAGATAAATGGTAAGTAATCAAGGTAGTAATGAAGTCCAGACAACCTTGTGTTCTTGAACGTAGCCCTGTTTCTTTGTGTTCTTGAACGTAGCCCTGTTTCTTTGTGTTCTTGAACGTAGCCCTGTTTCTTTGTGTTCTTGAACGTAGCCCTGTCTTTCATTTTTGTTCATTGATTTCACCTGTGTTAATTACTCACCTGGTCTCATCAGCTCCTTATTTAGTTCAGTTCTTTCTGTTTGTGCCTTGTGAGGTATTGATCGTTTTGACTCTACTAAGCCTTTTCCTAGCTCGTTTGTGAGAACCAGTTATAGTCTTCAGTCCTAGTTTTTGATTCTCCTGCCTGTTTGCCTACCTGTGTATGACCATTGCCTGCCTGTGACCATGATTCCTGCCTTCTGTGAAGGCGTAATAAACACCTGCCACGCTCTGCGCGTGAATCTACACCTTTTTCTCCCTGAGTGTTCAGAAAGCTTGTCATACAAGACAGCACTGCAATTATAGGCTATTGCATGTTAAACAATCTGATATATCCCGGTAATACTTTTTTTATTTCACTAATGTTGGATATTGGACATACACCACATGACCAAAGTATGTGGACACCTGTTCATCGAATATCTCATTCCAAAATCATGGGCATTAATATGGAGTTGGTCCCCCCTTTGCTGCTATAACAGCCTCCACTCTTCTGGGAAGGCTTTCCACTAGATGTTGGAACATTGCTGCAGGGACTTGCTTCTATTCAGCCACAAGCATTAGTGAGGTCAGGCACTGATGTTAGGTGATTAGGCCTGGCTAGCAGTCGGTGTTCCAATTAATCTCAAAGGTGTTCAATGGGGTTGAGGTCAGGGCTCTGTGCAGGCCGGTCAAGTTCTTCCACACTGATCTCGACAAACCATTACTGTATGGACCTCGATTTGTGCACGGGGGCATTCTCATGCTGAAACAGAAAAGGGCCTTCCCCAAACTGTTGCCACAAAGTTGGAAGCACACATTGTATGCTGTAGCGTTAAGATTTCCCTTCACTGGAACTAAGGGGCCTAGCCCGAACCATGAAAAACAGCCCCAGACCATTATTCCTCCTCTACCAAACGTTACAGTTGGCACTATGCATTGGGCCAGGTAGCGTTCTCCTGGCACACTCCACACCCAGATTCGTCCGTCGGACTGCCAGATGGTGAAGCGTGACTCATCACTCCAGAGAACGCGTTTCCACTGCTCCAGAGTCCAATGACGCCGAGCTTTGGGAAACACTGCGACCTATCCTTTAGCCTTGACCCCTAGGCCCTTCAAGAGGCCCCTCCCAGATATGAACAGAGAGATACCAGTCATGTCATCTTGTATTAGGCCTACATTATTATTATATTATTATTATTATTAACATACTGTCCTTTGTGTTTTCTGTTGTATGTGTAGCTTTTTACGAATGGATGGCGATGGCTTTCAAATACCAACTCCTGCTCTGCCCCACGTCCCAGAGGCCTGCTGCTTATCTTATTGGACCACAGAGACACCATCCGGTAGTTTGTGAGAGACATCCCCAGTGTTCTCAACCAAGTGGATGAGACACACCGAAAGGTCATTGAGGTAAGGGAGCCCATCGATGGCACGCTATTGTGCCCTTGTCAAAAGCAGTGCACTATGTAGAGAATTGAGTGCCTTTTGGGATGCAGCCTGATTCTTTGTGAGAGATTACATGAATGCTTTGCCTAAACTACAGAGACAATGGCATTTATCTTCTGCTGCCTCGCCCACAACCTGCTTATGATGCCAAGCTATATTTGTTGAACCATCTTCTCTGCCTGTCTGTTAAAGGTGTACACACCCTTTTTATCTTTATCGGGCTGTTGAAAACTAAAGAATTGCACGCTAATAAAGAGTGAGTTTACCCATTCTGAAAAAACAAAACTGAAAAATATGAATTATTGTCTCTTACCAGGTGTCACTTTTCCTCAAGGATAAAGTGCAGAATCCCAACGGACGCTTTGCCCTCTCCACCAGAAGTCCCGAGGTTAATCAGTTACTCATCTACTTGCCAGTAATACGACGCAGAGGTGTTAAACATGTTTGAACAGCTAGTTAGCATATCAACTCTATCTGGCTCTTGGTTCTCCGTGAGTGAGCGGTCATATAGTAATGCATTGTAAAGGCCAAGAGGAATTGAATTGACTGTCATACATTGCATTTTTAAAGTTAGTAATATTAACTGTAGTAATAGTTTGTTGGTCTATAATGTTGCCTGTTTTTTACCAACAATTGTGTGTACAGTATATACACTAGATGACTGATAGTGGGGGCCTTTGTTAAAACCACCGTGCCCCATCTTGGCACTCCCCCACTATTGTCAAAAAAATATTTGGGAAGCTATAGAAATGCATTTATTAATGTCTACATTCGTTTTTGCCACGTTTTATTCTATTGACCAGAGCCCTATGAGCCCTGATCAAAAATAGTGCACTACATAGGGAATAGGTTGCTATTTGGGATGCAAGCCTCAGACTGCTGCCCTCTTTTATTTATTTGAGGCACTGGCACGTACTCTCCACGTGGGGCAGTAAACCCAAGTAACCCAGTCTGCATCCCAAATGGGACCCTATTGCCTATACCCAAATGGGCCCTGGTCAAAAGTAGTGCACTATATAGGGAATAGGGTGCCATTTGGGACACATCCCCACTATATTCTCTTTAATCCGGAGGCGAACTCTGAACCCAACCTCCTTGCCAAAGAGGAGCTGAACCTGCTGGCTCGACTGATGGGTGGAATAGAGGTTCAGAACCCAAACACTGATACTGAAACAGGGTTCCGGGTCAACCTCTTTGCCACAGACCAAGAAGAAGAAGAGGTGGTATGCGTTCTCTCTCTCACTACTGGCGCCTTAGTTCTTTGTTTAACAGTGATTGTGATACACATTGCAGCATCTTTGATCCTCTATAATTTGGTTTGATCAGAGCAAGTCATTGGTATGTGAAGGTACGATCTTTATCCTCTACAGTGGAGCCTCAGGAGGGAATGGAGATCAGTCATTTGAAGTGAATCATATTCAAGCAATACAGGTATCTATGGTGGTATTGTGTGATTTAAAAGCTTTAAGTGATTATAACATGGTTATAGTGCACATATTAGCCAAGCAATAATGTAAACACAACCTGTGGTCTGACGGAGAAACAAGAGACAACCACCATGTGTAATCGGTTTGTATTCTTCCTCAGCTCTCTTACAATCTCCACTAAACCCCTTTAAAGGGGAATGGAAACACTTTAGCTTTACAGTTAGCTAGTGTTCTAAAGTCTAGTGTTTCCCTTCCCCTTTAAGACTAAACGGCAGATCTGTGTCAAGCAACAGTTGTACTTAATTATCGTGTCTATATGCCTCAAATGACGTGTTTTGTTTTTCTCTCAGGGCGTGAAGGTCAACACAGAACTGACTCGGATCGCTGGAGAGTTTACCAAGGAGCCTGAACAGACTGAAACACTGACTTGGATCGCTGGAGAGTTTACCAAGGAGCCTGAACAGACTGAAACACTGACTCGGATCGCTGGAGAGTTTACCAAGGAGCCTGAACAGACTGAAACACTGACTCGGATCGCTGGAGAGTTTACCAAGGAGCCTGAACAGACTGAAACACTGACTCGGATCGCTGGAGAGTCTACCAAGGAGCCTGAACAGACTGAAACACTGACTCGGATCGCTGGAGAGTTTACCAAGGAGCCTGAACAGACTGAAACATTGACTTGGATCGCTGGAGAGTTTACCAAGGAGCCTGAACAGACTGAACCACTGACTCGGATCGCTGGAGAGTTTACCAAGGAGCCTGAACAGACTGAAACACTGACTCGGATCGCTGGAGAGTTTACCAAGGAGCCTGAACAGACTGAAACACTGACTCGGATCGCTGGAGAGTTTACCAAGGAGCCTGAACAGACTGAAACACTGACTCGGAAGTACCAAGGAGCCTGAACAGCAGTAAGGGCCGCTTGCCTTGATGGATGAACTTATTGAACTATGACGGTGTTGATGGGTGCAGGGTGAAGTTTTCCCCTTGCCGCTGATCTTTGGTCAGTTTTGCATTTCACCCACTATCGGTTAAGGATAGAAATGGGGGAGGGGAAACGGATTCTCGATCAGCACCTAGGGGAACCTTCACCCCGGAGCGTGATGGTGATATTTGGGTGTGAGCTGTACAATCAGTGGTGTAGTTTGGGAAAGTTAACTGGTGCCTAATGTTACTGTGGTTATCCACTACAGTGTAGCTGGTCTTCAATCGATGCTTACACACATCACTCACCATTACCTCTGAGGTCCGTTGGCCAAACCAAGTTCCATTATGTATTACTTCGGTGTTTCTCAATCCTGGTCCTGGGAACCCCAAAAAACTGTGCATATATTTATTTATTTTCCCCTATCACTAACACACCTTATTCAACCAGTTAAAGGCTTGATAATCAGTTGATTAGTTGAATCAAGTGTATTGGTGCTGCTAGGGCAAAAATAAAAAAAAGTGTAGCCCTTTGGGTCCCTAGGATCAGGATTAGGAAACCTTTCTTCAGGTCAAACCTTTCAGCCCTCTGGTGCGGCTATTCTAGCATCTAGATAATATTCCAGTATTATACTTAAGGCACAAGGGGGGGTGTGGTATATGGCCAATATACCACGGCTAAGGGCTGTTCTTATGCACAACACAACGCGGAGTGCCTGGACATGGCCCTTAGCCGTGGTATATTGGCCATATAACACAAACCCCTGAGGTGCCTTATTGCTATTATAGACTGATTACCAATGTAATTAGAACAGTAAAAATAAATATTTTGTCATACCCGTGGTATATGGTCTGATATACCACGGCTGTCAGCCAATCAGCATTCAGGGCTCGAACCACCCAGTTTATAATGGATAATATATAGAGTGCAAAACCAAAAATGAAGTATGATTACTGTAAAAAATAAATACATTATTGTAGATATTACGAGCTCTTATGCTGTACATGTATTTTATATTTGCAATGAAGACGATTCTATGAAGAAAATACATTTATACATATATAGAATATTTAAAGTGTTTATTAAATTAGTCTTTTAGTAAGCAGTGGCACTTCGCAAGTGAGATATTATGAATGCATTTTTGAAAACAGATATTGTAAATATGATTGAGTGTTACAACAAATCATATTTGGGGAAATATTCTACCAGTCAATGAATGTAAGAAGCAGTTGTATTCAATAAACCAACAAATTGTAGCTATCATGCTTTTTTCTGAAAGATCTTCAGATCGCCAGCAGTGGGAGCAGTAATACAACATACCAGCAGAACAATTAATTTCTAAATACATATATATTTTTTAAAAGTCATGTTCTTATAACACAATTGGTGTTTAATGTCGCAGATTAAGATTCAGCTATAGTACAAAACAGCATTTGTTTCTGTTACAAAAACACCAAAAGGGTGTAAATGTTTAAAATTGTGTTCGCTTGGTGTGGATGTAAAACTAATGACATGAATGAAGTTACAATAGTGCAATATAAAGAGAAGATACATAGAGGAAGTGCCTGTAACACTTTAAAGAGTGTGTGTGTGTGTGTGTGAGAGAGAGAGAGAGAGAGAGAGAGAGAGAGAGAGAGAGAGAGAGAGAGAGAGAGAGAGAGAGAGAGAGAGAGAGAGAGAGAGAGAGAGAGAGAGAGAGAGAGAGAGAGAGAGAGAGAGAGAGTGTGAGAGTGCGTCTGTTCCTGTGAGTCTCAGAGCTCTGAGAGAGTCACTCCACTGAGGTTTTTCCTGGTTTTCCAGACAGTTTAGGGGCCAGGTAGCTTTAACACTGGGTCTGTCCTTCATTAGAGTGTAGTACGCTCCCAGTTTGGGGTAACGCTCTGCAGAGAGCTCAGAGCGGAAGGAATAGGCAATGTTGGGGAACACAAGGACATCAGCCAATGAGAAGGCTTTTCCTGCCAGGTAAGAGCCTGCCATCTTCTGAAAGTATCCCTTCCATAGTTTCATTTCAATGGTAAGGTTCTCTTCGTACTCTTGATAGCAGAGTCGTGTCTCTCTCTCTCAGGGACGTAATACTCATAGAAGACCACTTTACTGAGTTTCTCGTAGAAGGTTCGGCCCTCAAACATGCATTGGCACATCAGGGCCTGCTCTACCTGACCCCCAGGGGTCCCCTGGGACCTAAACTGGCTCTCCAGATACATGCATGCTCCATAGGACTCATTCACTATGTAGTTCCAGTGTTTGAATGTAGGAAGTTCACCCCGGGGGTTGAGGTCCATGACTATTTTATATTTGTGTTCTTCTTTATCGAAGTCCAACAGCGTCTGGATGTATCCCTGTTCATAACCCGCCAGCACAAAGTGATCTTAACCCACCAGCACGGAGTGATCATAACCCACCAGCAAGTAGCGATCATAACCCGCCAGCACGGAGAGATCATAACCGGCAAGCACGGAGCCGAGAAGGTGCACCATAGAAGTGTCATGTTCTTGGCCATGACTGTAGACTCGACCGCGGAGATAGAAGCGGGGAGTAGTCGGCTTGGTTGAGCATTGTTCAAGACATCTGTAAGTATATTTGTAAATACATACATGGGCTCTGCCTGAGAGGCAAAGCCACACGTTTTTTGTATGGAGGTTAATGAGTGTCGAATTTGGTTAGCAAATAAATGCTTATTTGCTACGTGTGGCTTAATTGATCTAATATACATTTCGTAATAATTAAGTTGTTACAAGTGTACTGATATAAGTAGGACATGTGACATCCCAGCAACTTTAAGAAAAAACACTTTATATCAGAGTTGTGCGTGTGCATGGATGCCCCCCATCGAGCAGCCCATTGGTTCCTTTGGTCCGGCCTGGTTTATCGGAGGCTGGTATCCTACTGCCACAGGTAGAACAATGAGCCAGATATTTCACCAGATGTATAGATATAAAGCATCCGATTGTCGTTTCCACTCACTACTAATATGGTGGTGAGAGAAGCCCAGTCGCCCACAGTGGGATTTTGGCCGACATTCTGCAAATGTTCTCATAGATCAAACATTTGATCTCACTACAGTTTTCTGTTTCCAAAACTAGAATCTGTTACGAACAAAGCCGACGTTTGTAGACTTTACCTTTTGCCAAAGTTTTACAAAATTGCGTTGTTTTTTAGGAGTGCAGGGGCGAGTTGAGTTATTGCACACGCGCACTTCACAGAGTAGGCGTTCCCTAACGTAAATATGCAAATATCTGCTAGAAAGCGCCAATAGGATCTCGCTAGCCCGTGCTTGGCTCTGCCCACCTTCTTGCTCGTTCTGTTCACTATGGTGCTTGCCTATGGAGCAAGCATGGAGCAAGCAACCTATGGAGCAAGACCATGGTGCTTGCCAATGGAGCAGTGAGGGGAACGGCACCTCCGTACCTTCGGGCTCTGATCAGTCCCTACACCCAAACGAGGGCATTGCGTTCATCCACCTCTGGCCTGCTGGCTCCCCTTCCTCTGCGGAAGCATAGTTCCCGCTCAGGCCAGTCAAAACTGTTCGCTGCTCTGGCACCCCAATGGTGGAACAAGCTCCCTCACGACGCCAGGACAGGGAGTCACTCACCACCTTCCGGAGACATTTGAAACCCCACCTCTTTAAGGAATACCTGGGATAGGATAAAGTAATCCTTCTACCCCCCCCCCCCCAAAAAATAAAATAAATAAATAAATAAAAATAAAGTGTAAAGTGGTTATCCCACTGGCTATAGGGTGATTGCACCAATTTGTAAGTCGCTCTGGATAAGAGCGTCTGCTAAATGACGTAAATGTGCCCTTGAGCAAGGCACTTAACCCTAATTGCTCCTGTAAGTCGCTCTGGATAAGAGCGTCTGCTAAATGACTAAAATGTAATAAAATGTAATAAAATGTAAATGATTAATTTGCTCCCATTGGAAACGACAGGCTGTGGTCTATCTTGGGTTAGTTATACAAATATTTGACTTGCGGTATGGCTCCAGCAGATATGCAAAAGACGATGTGAGAAATACGAGATGAGACAGGATGTCGAATGGTTCCAGATAGGATGGTGCGTTACCGCCACCAACAGCACGGGTGGTGACATTACATATAGAATTGTGCTCACGTGTGTACTATGGAAAAGGCTATAAGGACACGCCTAATGCCCAAACCCGATGCTTCATTTCAGAATTGATTAAAGTTAGGTTTAGGAGTTTGGTTAAGGTTAAAGGTCAGTTTTAGGTTGTGACTAGTCAGTTTAAACATCAGCTGTGTCCTTATAATCTATCCCCTGTACTAGCTAGCTGCACAAGCAACAGTGGTTAACATAACTCCCTGGACCAGAGCTAATGCGCCATGCGCTCCCTGTTCATGCTGAGGTTGAGGGTAAAGCCAGTCAGCTACTGGTGACTATGGATGGGGAGGAGGAAAGGGTCTGTGGATAAAATGTAACAAATTGATATTGATGCGTTTCCAAAACATGTCTTGCAAAAATGCCAGTGTGTGTAGACATAATCATCCATGATCAATAGTACATCAGATTATATTTCTAAATAGAAGTATCTTGCTCTGGTCCTCGCGCATGCGTCGGATCTGCACTACGAGCTGATGCCTGCTGGACTGTTCCTTTACACGGTACCCTGTCCTGTTTATTCTGTTTAGCCTCAGCCCAAACTTTATCACTATTACCAGTTGTTGTCTTAGCTCTCTCTAATAACACCTGTGATTGCTTTATGCCTCACTCCCTTGTCAATATGCCTTGCCTATTGCTGTTTGGGTTAGTTCTTATTATACAATTTCACTGTAGAACCCCTAGTCCCTCTCAAACTGCCTCAAATAGTTCCTTTGTTCCACCCCCCATACACGCCGAGACCGGCTCAATCGGTGCCTCCAGTGATGCTATCTCTTTCATTGTTACCCAACGCTTAGGTTTACCTCAACTGTACTCATATCCTTCCATATCCTTTTCTGTACATAATGCCCTGAATCTTTTCTACAACGCCCGGAGAACTGCCCCCTTTATTCTATGTACCCAACGCACTAGAAGACCAGTTCTTAAAGCCTTTAGTCGTATCCTTATTCTAGTCCTCCTCTGTTCCTCTGGTGATGTAGAGGCTAACCCTGGCCCTGCAGCCCCCAGTATCACTCCTACTCCCCAGGAGCTATCATTTGTTGACTTCTGTAACCGTAAAAGCCTTGGTTTTCTGCACGTAAATATCAGAAGCCTCCTTCCTAAATTTGAGTTATTCACTGCGTTAGCACACTCCGCCAACCCTGATGTTCTAGCAGTGTCTGAATCCTGGCTTAGGAAGGCCACCAAAAATTCTGAAATTTCCATCCCCAACTATAACATTTTCCGTCTAGATAGAACTGCCAAAGGGGGTGGAGTTGCAATCTACTGTAGAGATAGCCTGCAGAGCTCTATCATACTATCCAGGTCTGTGCCAAAACAGTTTGAGCTTCTACTTCTAAAAATCCACCTTTCCAGAAATAAATCTCTCACTGTTGCCGCTTGCTACAGACCCCCCTCAGCCCCCAGCTGTGCCCTGGACACCATATGTGAATTGATTGCCCCCCATCTATCATCAGAGTTCGTACTGCTTGGTGACCTAAATTGGGATATGCTTAACACCCCGGCCATCCTACAATCTAAACTAGATGCCCTCCATCTCACACAAATTATCAACGAACCTACCAGGTACAACCCTAAATCCGTAAACATGGGTACCCTAATAGATATCATCCTGACTAACTTACCCTCTAAATACACCTCCGCTGTCTTCAACCAGGATCTCAGCGATCACTGCCTTATTGCCTGCGTCCGTAACGGGTCCGCGGTCAAACGACCACCCCTCATCACTGTCAAACGCTCCCAAAAACACTTCAGCGAGCAGGCTTTCCTAATTGACCTGGCCCAGGTATCCTGGATGGATATAGATCTCATTCCGTCAGTAGAGGATGCCTGGTTGTTCTTTAAAAGTAATTTCCTCTCAATCTTAAATAAACATGCCCCATTCAAAAAATACAGAACTAAGAACAGATATAGCCCCTGGTTCTCCTCAGACTTGACTGCCCTTGACCAGCACAAAAACATCCTGTGGCGTACTGCATTAGCATCAAATAGCCCCCGCGATATGCAACTTTTCAGGGAAGTTAGGAACCAATATACACAAGCAGTTAGGAAAGCAAAGGCTAACTTTTTCAAACAGAAATTTGCATCCTGTAGCACTAACTCCAAAAAGTTTTGGGACACTGTAAAGTCCATGGAGAATAAGAGCACTTCCTCCCAGCTGCCCACTGCACTGAGGCTAGGAAACACTATCACCACCGATAAATCTACAATAATTGAGAATTTCAACAAGCATTTTGCTACGGCTGGCCATGCTTTCCACCTGGCTACCACTACCCCGGCCACCAGCTCTGCACCCTCCGCTGCAACTTGCCCATGCCACCCCCCGCTTCTCCTTCACACAAATCCAGACAGCTGATGTTCTGAAAGAGCTGCAAAATCTGGACCCCTACAAATCATCTGGGCTAGACAATCTGGACCCTTTCTTTCTAAAACTAGCCGCCGAAATTGTTGCAACCCCTATTACTAGCCTGTTCAACCTCTCTTTCGTAACGTCTGAGATCCCCAGAGATTGGAAAGCTGCCGCAGTCATCCCCCTCTTCAAAGGGGGTGACACTCTAGATCCAAACTGTTACAGACCCATATCCATCCTGCCCTGCCTTTCAAAAGTTTTTGAAAGCCAAGTTAACAAACAGATCACCGACCATTTCGAATCCCACCGTACCTTCTCCGCTATGCAATCCGGTTTCCGAGCTGGTCATGGGTGCACTTCAGCCACGCTCAAGGTCCTAAACGATATTATAACCGCGATCGATAATAGACAGTACTGTGCAGCCGTTTTCATTGACCTGGCCAAGGCTTTCGACTCTGTCAACCACCGCATTCTTATTGGCAGACTAAATAGCCTTGGTTTCTCAAATGACTGCCTCGCCTGGTTCACCAACTACTTCTCAGATAGAGTTCAATGTGTCAAATCGGAGGGCCTGTTGTCTGGACCTATGGCAGTCTCTATGGGGGTGCCACAGGGTTCAATTCTTGGGCCGACTCTTTTCTCTGTGTATATCAATGATGTCGCTCTTGCTGCTGGTGACTCTCAGATCCACCTCTACGCAGACGACACCATTTTGTATACATCTGGCCCTTCATTGGACACTGTGTTAACAAACCTCCAAACGAGCTTCAATGCCATACAACACTCCTTCAGTAGCCTCCAACTGCTCTTAAACACTAGTAAAACTAAATGCATGCTCTTCAACCGAACGCTGCTTGCACCCGCCCACCCGACTAGAATCACTACTCTCGACGGGTCTGACCTAGAGTATGTGGACAACTACAAATACCTAGGTGTCTGGTTAGACTGTAAACTCTCCTTCCAGACTCACATTAAGAATCTCCAATCGAAAGTTAAATCTAGAATCGGTTTCCTATTTCGCAACAAAGCCTCC